CCCCAAAACCCCAAAACCCCAAAACCCCAAAACCCCATTAGCTTATAAAAATATTGAATGGAAGAAAGAATCAATATCATGCAGCAAGCAGGGAACAGGACTCAAAGAGTCCTGTTCAACCGTGAAAAGTTCGGAAATGACAACCTGTTTAACACAGTGAAGGTCGGATGGGTCTTTGACTCTAAATTCATCAAGTCAGGTCCTAACTCAGTGTGTGAATCCCAGCCTGAAAAGAAGCCAGAAGAAAATAAAACTAGAAATATCAGACAGAAGATCATTGAGCAGATACAGACTCATAATCAAAAGGGAAACAAGGTGGCTATCCTTGACTTCACTGATTTTGAGATGAAGGACAAGTTCGATATCATCCGGTCACGATCTAATAAGGACTTCAAAAGGAAGTATATGAAGACAGAGACTCCTGTTATTAATGTAAGCAACAACTTAGCCAATCTAGACTGTTTATACACCAAAAACCTCCGTACCAGAGTTGAGGTCAGTTCAAAACGAAAGAAGAATGCTCTCCCCTATTTTCAGACAAGCCCCTCTGGTTTTGAAATCTAAGAAGAACAAATGAATGTCTCCAAGAATTATTAGAAATGATATTAAACCAAGAGAGCCTCTAAAAGAATACTCAAAGTTACAATTTGATCTGGAATTTCAGCATGTAGACCCAAGTGTGAAATTTACCCAAGCTTTAATGAATCAAAAGCAGAAGAACACCGAATCTTGCATTAAGTTCCAGTCAAATGTGAACACCCTCCTTGAAGAGGTAGAAGGAGTCCAGAACTTAGGAAGGAAGCCATTAGGTAACACACTGGAGTAACTTATAGTCTCTGACAAAAATATTGGATCTTTAAGACGTTCAAGAGACCTTAATGATAAAATGGTTGAGAAGTACCTCCCAACATTCGAGATTAATAACATAAAGGATCAGATAAAGATCCAAGAGATGCTCAATAACAAAATCAATGATACCAAATAAAGAGATCTTACGTCTTGAGAGCATCCCATATTTCGATCAAAAATTATCAAAAAGGACCAAATCCAAGACAGTCAAATTACTAAACAAGCTAACCTCGCAGAAGAAGCCCTATCACAAGTATCAATTCATCCCAAAAAGACTCAAAAGAAACACAACTTTCAAAAAAATGATGAGTCAAGAAAGGCCTTAACTCATAAAAATTTAATTTCAACATTTTGTCCCAAATTTGGGGTTTTGGGGTTTTGGGGTTTTGGGGTTTTGGGGTTTTGGGGTTTTGGGGTTTTGGGGTTTTGGGG